ACTAAACTCAGAATGAACCGTGTGGGCGGCTCATTTTGATGTGCAACAAAAATGAGACTAGGTTTTTTCTGTGTATGCATTGAATCAACTTTACTCTTAATTTCGGGTTGGAATAACTATTCGAACAAACGAGGCAATAGTAGATTATGGTTATGTAGCAATTGATAGCGGCACAACCAACCGCCACAGTGGGGCCAAAAACACGTCCGTGGACAAATTAACTTAGAGCCTACAAATTTCAACCGATTTTGACGTTCTTTGAATTGACTTAAAGGTAATAAAATTCCACACAGCGCTGTCGTTTTTGTTTTTTTAAAAAAAAATTTTTTCTATTGTTTATTTATTGTTAAAGTTGAAAAAATTTTTTATTCTTCTCTAAAAACTACATAAGTTTTTCAAAAAGGACGGTATTACATCAACAAAGCCTAAAATTGTTAAAGCAATGATTTGAGAACATTTTCTGAGATTTAAATAATTGTTTAAAAATTTTTTGTAATTGTTATTAACAAATTAGCGGACTAAAGACGATTTAATTGTTTTTTTTACTTTTAGCAATTGAAATCCATGTAATCTTTTGTATTTAAGGGCCAAAAGTAATTAACATTGAAAATAATTATTATAAACTAATTATTGTTATTTTTTAAACAATTTTTATAAACAATTTTCTTTATCTTAGTTCTTTATAACTAAATTATTTAAATATTGTGTTCAGTCTACTATATTATTACTCAAGATGAACAAATATTGCTAAATTTTGACAATTTTCAACTTAGCTTTGTTTAAACAACTCTTAATTAACAAATACACAGTGACGTTGTTTTTAGTTGTTTCAAATTCGTTTTTTTCAAGACTCCTTAATTTTTAAATATTTTTATATTACACCGTCCGACACGATTTTTCACACACGAAAAAATCAATGATTTTCAGAAACTAGGACCAAAAAAAAGATACCCGTGTCTGGCCGTTTTGCTAGATCAGGTCATTTTTTGCTTTTAGGGGTAAAATCAACCCTTAAATGAAAGGTGATAGGAAATCTTGTACAAATAAATAATTTTTTATGAAACCTGGTATCTCGGGGTTTTCCGGGTCGCTGATTACGAATCTGATGTCGGATTTTCAAAATTCAAAATGGCGGATCCAATATGGCGATTGAAATTTATAATAATTCACCAATTCACTTGAAACTTGTTACTTGAAGGTTTTTGGGGTCGCTGATAACGAATATGATGTCAGATTATGAAAATTCAACATGGCGGATCCAATATGGCAGTCGAAATTTATAAATATTAATTATTTTTTATAAAATTTGATGTCTAGGGGCTTTTGAGGTCGCTGATAATAACATAATAATAATAATAATAATAACATAAAAACATTTATAAATTTCGACCACCATATTGGATCCGCCATTTTGAATTTTGAAAAGCCGACATCAAATTCGTAATCAGCAACCCCAAAAACCTTCAAGTAACAAGTTTCAAGTGAATTCGACTAATTTTTAAAAATTTCAAACGCTATATTGAATCTGCCATTTTGAATTTTAAAAATCTGACTTCAGATTTGTGCTCAGCGACCCCAAAAACTTCTAGACACCAAGTTTTATAAAAAATGATTAATATTTATAAATTTCGACCGCCATATTGGATCCGCCATTTTGAATTATTAAAATCTGACATCATATTCGTTATCAGAGACCCCAAAAACCTTCAAGTAACAAGTTTCAAGTGAATTCGATGAACTTTTATAAATTTCGACCGCTATATTGAATCCGCCATTTTGAATTTTAAAAATCTGACATCATATTCGCAATCAGCGACCCCAAAAACCTTAAAGTAACAACTTTCAAATGAATTGGTGAATTATTATAAATTTCAATCGCCATATTGGATCCGCCATTTTGAATTTTGAAAATCCGACATCAGATTCGTAATCAGCGACCCGGAAAACCCCGAGATACCAGGTTTCATAAAAAATTATTTATTTGTACAAGATTTCCTATCACCTTTCATTTAAGGGTTGATTTTACCCCTAAAAGCAAAAAATGACCTGATCTAGCAAAACGGCCAGACACGGGTATCTTTTTTTTGGTCCTAGTTTCTGAAAATCATTGATTTTTTCGTGTGTGAAAAATCGTGTCGGACGGTGTAATATAAAAATATTTAAAAATTAAGGAGTCTTGAAAAAAAACGAATTTGAAACAACTAAAAACAACGTCACTGTGTATTTGTTAATTAAGAGTTGTTTAAACAAAGCTAAGTTGAAAATTGTCAAAATTTAGCAATATTTGTTCATCTTGAGTAATAATATAGTAGACTTAACACAATATTTAAATAATTTAGTTATAAAGAACTAAGATAAAGAAAATTGTTTATAAAAATTGTTTAAAAAATAACAATAATTAGTTTATAATAATTATTTTCAATGTTAATTACTTTTGGCCCTTAAATACAAAAGATTACATGCATTTCAATTGCTAAAAGTAAAAAAAACAATTAAATCGTCTTTAGTCCGCTAATTTGTTAATAACAATTACAAAAAATTTTTAAACAATTATTTAAATCTCAGAAAATGTTCTCAAATCATTGCTTTAACAATTTTAGGCTTTGTTGATGTAATACCGTCCTTTTTGAAAAACTTATGTAGTTTTTAGAGAAGAATAAAAATTTTTTTCAACTTTAACAATAAATAAACAATAGAAAAATTTTTTTTTAAAAAAACAAAAACGACAGCGCTGTGTGGAATTTTATTACCTTTAAGTCAATTCAAAGAACGTCAAAATCGGTTGAAATTTGTAGGCTCTAAGTTAATTTGTCCACGGACGTGTTTTTGGCCCCACTGTGCAACCCCAAGCGAAAGGCACAATTAACCACGTTGCGACGACGCTCACTTTTTATCATATTTTAAAAAAGTAGATAAATAAAATGTTAAGATCAATACACTATTGAATCCCTCGATAAATTTAAATCATTTTTTAAAAAAATACGTATCGATATCTTTAAAAATATAGAAAAAATAATCTGTAAATTAGGAAATTGAAAGAAATTTCAAAACATATAAAAAAAATTTTTTTGAGTACATACATACACACAGACATTTGTTTAAAACCTATTTTTTGGCATCAGGAAGTCTTGAAACTTGGAGATTCACAAAAATTAGAAGTTGGTAAAAATCGGGCAAATGTAATACTTTCTCATTATGATGAGAATGTAAAAACAAATTTTTAATTAAAAATTAAAAAAAGAAGAAAATTCGGAATATTATGAGTAAGGTACTGTTGTATGTGTTAATTTAAGGTGGTTTAAACAGAAATAATACATAGTCGCACATATGTTTTCAAATTAAAGTAATTTTGCCCTGCTTTTTACCTATTTTTTATCCGTTTTTGTCTTCTTTTAAAAAAAAGATGTACTTTTTTCTTTTGATCGCTATTAAAAAATGTCTAAAGAAAGAAGTGTTTATTTTTACTCGTGTTTTTCAAAAAAAAAAATTGAATAAAATTTTTTTTGAAATATAAAAATTTTTGAAAATTTAAAAAAATTGTGTAACTTTGTTGTTTTCACTCCAATCAAAAAATGTTAAAAAGAAAAAGTGTTTCATTTTACTCACATTTTTCAAAAAAAATTAATACTTTCTCATTATGATGAGAATGTAAAAATATTTCTTAAAATCGTCGTTTTTGACAATTACAGATTCTTTTACAGTTTATTTTTCAATATTTATCTATTTTTAATAATTTTTTAAAAGTTTTATATAAAGTTAAGTCAATTTTTCCTTTGCGTAGCCTCTAAATATGTGTAGGTTGAATGGGCCTAATGCATTGGATGATTGAGCAAGCAGTCCAATTGTCCAGATGTTGTTTGGACAATTGAGCAGACGGCTTGCTCGATTGTCCAAACGGCTTGCTGAATAATTCCTTTTTACTGGGTCGTTCCAACGGTGTACTCTAGCTCTATTTTCATTTGTATAGCTCAAAATATTGTATATTTGTAATCGTTTAATCATTAGTCATTTTGTCGTAATTACAAAACTAAGGATAAATGAGCCGCTGGAAAGTAAAAGGGCGCATAAAATTTGTACGGCCGTTCGAGTTGGCCCCTGACGCTTAAAAAATCGATTTAAAAAAAAAAATTTTTTTTATTACCACATTATTGGAAATTTTATGCCGCATCTTTTTCCTTCTATGAAAAAATCTCTATCTTTTTCGGTTTTCGAGTAAATCGAAAAAAACTGGATTTTTAGTAAACACAAGTTTAATTAAATTTTTCACTTCAACTCGCTCTAAAAAACAAAGTTATAAATATTTTTTGAAAAAATTCACAGGAATGTTGCCTCATTTTTGTGTATGTTGCCATAGGGATAATCGGCTTGGCTTGACATTATAAACGCCTGCTTTAGGTAAAGTAGTCAAAGGGCAACCAATCAGAAAGTGACAGTTAAAGGGCGAAGGTTATTAGGGTCGGATAAAAGTGGAGTACGAGGGCGTAAATTTAGAATTGACTCAATTTCATAGCCATAAATGTGGTGCTCGAGGAGGACTGGATTTTCAAATAATTATTTTTTTTCATTTAAAAAAATGTTTTAATTTTCATTTGTGATCGGTTAAATATAATAATTTTTATAACTCTTTCAATTGACTACTTGCAACAACAAAATTAGTAACATTATTGGAGTTGATTTTGCTGGTTTTTCAAAACGAGCAAGCAATTTTTTTAAACTTCCGAGAAAGGCATCAGACGTTCATCAGTCGCCAATTAAGATGAACCGCATGAGTAATAAAACGGAAGAATACTACTACATAGGATTTAAAATTTTTTGTATTGTGAAGAAAAAAATTTTGTTGCTACAATTTCATAACCAAATTTTCATATAAAAATTAAAAAAGATGTTTTTATTGGTAAACTATTTTTTAATTTAACAGTTCTATTTGGCAAAGCCTGATCTTCTTTAATTTAACACTCGAATTAATATTTTTTAAGATGGATTATTGTGCTTTGTTGCAGATAATGATGTGGCTCAAGGTCATTTCGTCGACAGTGAAGGAGAGAGGCTGCGCTGGTGGATGAACATAAGCAGAAAAGATTGCCAACTGAGCAATCTATCCCCAGCCAGCTACAAGTCACCTGATGCTGACGAAGCTGATGCTCAGCGAACCTAGTGATTCAGGTCAGGCCGAATCAGACCGCAATGGAAATGGGATTGGTAGTATGTATCCGACCGCTTATCATGTGGACGGATTCAGTTTCGATACCGATGTCCCTACTTTTATATCAACCATGTCAACGGCGGCAACATCAACAACTGCGGCAGATTGCATCGGGACGAATGTCATCGGAAGCAAAGAAGTCCGCTACGCACCTTTCTCTCAAATATTGCCTCCCTTACCGACCCCAATTCCGCCACTTATCCCGCCACCTCCTACATCATCATCCCCGCCCCCGCCACCCCCGCCGTTCCTACCGCTGCAAATGCAGCAACGCACCTATTCCCGATCTATGACTTCACTACCCCCTGAGCCTTTCATGATTATGCGATCGAAGGCCTTGAATCGAAGAGTTTCAATAAATGTTGGAGGTGTAAAACATGAAGTTCTCTGGCGTACATTAGAACGTTTACCACACACCCGACTAGGTCGCCTTCGTGACTGCAATACCCATGAAGCCATTACCGAGCTCTGTGATGACTACTCGCTCGTTGACAATGAGTACTTTTTTGATCGACATCCTAAGTCCTTCAGTTCTATTCTCAACTTTTACAGGACTGGTAAGCTTCATTTAGTTGACGAGATGTGCGTCCTTGCATTCAGCGACGATCTCGAGTATTGGGGAGTAGATGAACTTTATCTGGAGAGTTGCTGTCAACATAAATATCATCAACGGAAAGAGCATGTACATGAAGAAATGAGAAAAGAAGCTGAGTCGCTCAGGCAACGGGAAGAAGAAGAATTTGGAGAGGGAAAATGTGCCCAATATCAAAAATGGCTGTGGGACTTGCTCGAAAAACCGACCACGTCCATTGCTGCCAGGGTAAGTGAAATTCTTTTAGTAGATTATTTTTTAATCTGGCTAATGTTTTACAAATGATAATGATTTTAAATTTATAATGATTAATTAACAAAAATTATTATTAATTAGCAATTTTAGCTAGTTAAAAAATTAAAATTTGTTAAATTATTATAGAATAATATATATGCATGTAATTTTTCAATTTTAACATTGAATATTACTTTAAATTACATTATAAAAATCCTTAAGGAACTACATCAAGAAAGATGAATGTTATACTTCTCTATAAATATTTTTCTAAAAATCGAAAATCATTGGGTCGAACCTTTGAGAATCGCATAGATCATTTCCTGACTTAAATATAAAAAACACATATACATTTTAATTTACCATCATCAATTATAATCATTGCATGATTATAATTATTATTAGTCATCCAAATTACAACTTGCCTAAAAATCAAGGTACATAATGACCAGTTTTTAGAAGTTCCTTTTACTATATAATTCTAAATTGACCAACATTTCGATCGGTTGTTTCATTTTTGGAGAAGCGTTAATTTAAACAACTAGTATTTATAATTTCTTTAACCACTTCGTGAAAGATGAAACATGCTTTAAGCAACAAGAATGATAAGTGTGTCAGGAATATCTCTGATCCAGCTTTCTACACTAAATATCGTAAGCCATATCATTCTTGCTTTGATTTATAAACAGGTCTTAAGTATGTGATATATAATATTTATTAAGCGGTAGTGTGATCTTTAATCATCACTATTGTTCTCACTCGCTGTAGAAAATTTTGATGAATTACTCAAAGTAATTGAAAATCTTGATATTCTTTATTACCAAGATTCTAAAATACTTATACGAAATTAAATAACCTGATGAACAGTGTTAATTTTGCTAGAAAATCTAATGTTAACGAAGCACCACATTAGTCTCTAGTGAAAGTCACGAGTCAATGGAAAAAGGAGATTTAATCATCATTTAATGTAAAATAGTTATTTTCGTATCAAGGACGGAATATAGGTGATTATGGAGAGGGTGAGATTAGGGAAACCAGGGGGCCCAGATTCTTACTTCTCATCACTTTGCGTGAGCATTAATTCTCTAAAATTACGCAGTTTATGGTCAGTTAGAACAAAAAATATATGTTTAGTCGACTTATTGTAATAGCAACTGTGTATTTGTACTTTTGTATATAAATGCTGACAATTGGCTACCTTTGGCCCCGTGTCGCTCATAACACTTTATTTATTCTAAAGTAATAATTGTGTCGATTTCAGATGTCTACAGACAGAATATTTGAATAATGTTTATGTTTTCTTTTAACGTGATCGTCATTTTACTACGGTTGTATAACATCCAAACTCAGTTTAGTGTTTATTAGTTAAAAAAAGTTGGGTTTTTCTGTACATGAAAATAGTAGAATGTTTCATCATCATTTTTGCAGTGTTCCTTAAAGATTTTTATATAATTTGCAAGAAAAGTTATTATTTTTAAATTAGTCTACAATGAAATATTTTCAACTTAAACAACATGTATTTATAATGTTTTGCAATTATATAAAAATTATTTACAATCTTCTTTTTGAAATTTTAATGTGATAAACCAGTTACTTATAAAATTATATTGTAAACACATTACGAAAAGAATATATAGTTACAGCTTTATTTGTTTTATAAACACTGATCTAGTAATAAATCTGATTAATATTATTATGTTGGTTCTAGCCCGGCTGAAAAACCTTGTAGAAGAAAATGTACAAGTTCTTGTACATGTTCATTAATGAACTTGTACATTTTCTTGTACATGTTCATGTAATGTTCTCGAACAAGTTCAGCATCTGGAATTGAGACATGTTCTTGTACCAGAACTTGTACAAGATCCTGAACAAGAAAATATACTTGTACAAGAAAATGTACATGTTCTTGTACATACTTTTTTTGTGCAGGTTTCATGTAAATTTTCTTGTACCAGATGTGGAACATGTTCTTGTACATATTCATTTATGTCTTTTAAATTAAAAATTAAAAACTTTAAAGGCTGCGCAGTAGTTTTCTTAAGCCTTTACAGCTGCGCAATAATTTTTAGCATGCATAAGTGAAGAGTTTTAACCTTCGCTTGACAAGATGCCCACCCAGGGTGGGCCAGAAAAATTGAAATTGCCATATCTTCTAAAGTTTTGCCTTAATTGAATCGCGATTTTAAGTCACTGAACAAAATCTTAAGAATTTTCAAAAAATGTAAAAAAAAATTTTTTTTTTAAATTTCTTCTTGATTATTTATAACTTTTATCAATGTATGTACGGAGATAACCGGGATGATTCAGATATTTTTTTAATTCTATTTTACAAAAAGACTTGAAATCATGCAGACTTTTCACTGTGAGTGTTTTATGATGTTAAATAATAGATATAAAAAATATTATATTGCATTTTTCATTTGTTTAAACAATTTATTGTTATTATTTATTAACTTTCTTTGTTCTGCACCTAGAAAGATGCAGTTTTTTTCTAATTTTGCAATTTATCAAGCGGAATATAATAAAAGATAGATTTGATGTAAAATTATTAATTCAACAATTGTTTAAACAATTTATTGTTGTTATTTATTAACTTTTTTTGTTTTGTACCTAGAAAGATGCAGTTTTTTTCTAATTTTGCAATTTATCAAGCGGAATATAATAAAAGATAGATTTGATGTAAAATTATTAATTCAACAATTGTTTAAACAATTTATTGTTGTTATTTACTAACTTTTTTTGTACGGCACCTGGAAAGTTTCCGTTTTTTCTAATTTTGCAACTCATCAAGCCGAATATAATAAAAGATAGATTTGATGTAAAATTGTAAATTCAACAATTGTTTAAACAATTGTTAAATTAGTAAATTTATGTCAAATCTGTCTGGCTATATTATATTCGGTTTGTTAAATTGCAAAATTAGAAAAAAATTGCAACTTTCTTGGAACATTATAAAGAAAGTTAATAAATAGCAACAATTATTTGTTTAAACAATTGGTTAAATAGTAAATTCATATAAAATCTTCATGTTTATTATGTTGAGCTTGTTAAGTTGCAAAATTAGAAAAAAATTGCAACTTTCTTGGAACATTATAAAGAAAGTTAATAAATAGCAACAATTATTTGTTTAAACAATTGGTTAAATAGTAAATTCATATAAAATCTTTGTGTTATTATGTTGTGCTTGTTAAGTTGAAAAATTAGAAAAAAATTGCAATTTTCTAGGAATATTATGAAGAATGTTAATAAATAGCAACAATTATTTGTTTAAACAATTTATAATAATAGTTGTTGCAAATTGAATTATATATTTTATTTTATTTATAACCTTTGAATTAATAACTACGAAGAAAAGGTAACAAATTTATAAAATTCTTCTACTGTCGTATGTATATTTGAAAAAGTTATAAATTATTAATAATAAATTGTTTAAACAAATAAAAAATCAACAAAACATTAATAAAATATATTATTTGGTAACATATAACAATTTTGGAAAAAAAACTGAATGATTCTAAGTTTTTATTTCAATATACAAAGAAGAAAACATTTGGCCCACCCTGGGTGGTATCTTGTCAACCGTGTATATAAAAAGTATCCAGTCCGGCGAAGGTTAATAATAATAACTTATTAAAATTTCAAATTTTTTTCCAAAAACATTTTTAAACAAATGTTCTTGTACAAGAACATAAACATGTTCATGTAAAAGTAGATGTACATGAAACCTGCACAAAAAATATGTACAAGAACATGTACATTTTCTTGTACAAGTATATTTTCGTATCCAGGATCTTGTACAAGTTCTGGTACAAGAACATGTCTCAATTCCGGATGCTGAACTTGTTCAAGAACATTACTTGAACATGTACAAGAAAATGTACAAGTTCATTAATGAACATGTACAAGAACTTGTACATTTTCCTCTACAAGGTTTTTCAGCCGGGAGAAACAACAACTTTTTTATTTCTATGAAATCTTATTCACTTCTAAAATCAAGTTCTAAGAAAAATAAAAGTTTTTATCTTATGCCTTACTATAACCTGAGTACTAAATATTATTTTTCAGAAGTAAATTTTATTACAGCATTATTTTTATAATTACATATATTTTTTACTAGTATCGTTTAAAAAAAACTAAGCAATTTATAACTTACAATACCATACGACACAATAATTTGGAAATTATATTTACAAAATATCATGCTTACAGTTCTCGCGGAATATATTCGATCAAAGGTATTTGTTGACTAATAGGTAATTTAACTTGTAGTATACATGCAAGATACCTTTGTCAAAATCTATTATTAATTAAGTTTTACAAATTATAAATAGTATTATAAGTCATTTTTATGCAACATTTAAAACTCATTTTAAAGGTGTTGAAAATTATTAAAATTAACGAAATCTTCTTATAGAGTAAATAAAATACTTGTCTATTGAACCATTCACTATATTAAATGGAACTTTACACATTAACAATCAAAAATAAAACAATAACATAGTAATAGACATAATATAATATCGTCTAATTTTAAGAGTAAATACTACCATTTAAAAAAAATTGAGAAAGTAGGTAGCACCTAATAGCAAAAATAAGGAATATCTTTAAAAATACACTTCTAAAAAAATTACAATGCGTAATTCAATTATTTAAACTTCAAATATTTTTAACTTTTTCCTTTTTGAAACTTTTAACTTAAAAACAATTTTTTTTGGTCCTAAACAATCTTTTTCGAGACGCAGTCGTAATTATACCAATTGGCTAGTTTTAAAAAACGATACAGTTCTTTGAAAATTAAAAATGCCTATAAAGTCATTTTTTCGTCTCCCGAAAACAACTTCAATGTTCATTGTACATGACAATTTTTTAACTTATTTTCAATGCCTTTAATTGAGAATTAACATAATATCTATATTATTGAATTATTTTTGAAAATTAAAAAGATCAAAAGACATCTTGCAAGTATTGCAAATGGTTAAATATAGATGACAAGA